CCATTTATAAGGTTGTTATCTATGTCATTGCATCTGATGAAGGCTATTCTGCTCCTTCATCGATGTAGTTTGGCCTTTGTTTTCTTCTTTTTCTCTAATTATTTTTGCTAATCATCTTTAAATTGTTATAAATGTTATTTATTTATTTTTGGTTTTTCATGTCAGTATCTACTATTCTTTTTGTATTATTCCTTCAATGAAGCTATTTTCTTTGATTTGGCACTTGGAATGCTTTTTACACACTTAGTATTCTTTCTTTTTGGTTGTTCAGAGAAAGGCCTTCAAAGAATAATTGACAAAGCGCAGGTTCGTGGGATACAAGCATTTATCTCCACATATCACAACTTGTATTCTTTGCAATCATCTATGGGTTGAATGTTTTAGGTACCAGTGGCAGCAGTTGTCATCATGGCATGCAATCGTGCAGATTATCTGGAAAGGACTATTGCTTCTGTCTTAAAGTATGTTGATGAGTTTAGTTTGATAGCGTAGCCTGTTTGACCAAATAGTGGGTAATTTTATGCTGACTTATTTTGGCTTGAATCTTTGCAGGTATCAGAGCTCTGTGGCTTCAAAATATCCACTTTTTGTATCACAGGTATTTACATTTATAGTCTTATACTTTATTGGCAATAAAAGTTTTTCTTTGTCTATCGGACTAGATGGACACTATTCCACTTCATGCACAACAAACACATGATTATTCTATTGCTTTCAATAATATAAAGCAATGCTTCTAACTGTGATAGTTTCTTCTCAGGATGGATCAGATCCAAATGTTAGAAGTAAAGCTTTGAGTTACAATCAGCTAACTTATATGCAGGTAGATTGTGTTTTTCTCTCTCCCCCTCTCTTTCTCCATGTTGGAAATTTTGATATGGGTGAATCCTCTTCCTTTTTCCTTCTCTCACATGGTTTTCATGTCCTTATTTATCAAACCAATCCAGTAAATGCTTACTTCAGTTTCTTTCAGCACTTGGATTTTGATCCAGTGCATACAGAAAGGCCCGGGGAATTGATTGCGTACTACAAGATTGCTCGTAAGGATTGTTTTATAATTTTTTCCTCTTGTTCACATGGCTTCTACAAATTCCAGCTCTTAAATATTTGGTTTCTTAAGGTCACTACAAATGGGCATTGGATGAGTTGTTCTACAAGGACAATTTTGACCGAGTAATCATACTTGAAGGTGAAGTTGTCTTCTTTTGTGGACTATTATTTTGAATTTTCTTATGGAAAAGGAATATTGAACTGACTGAGAATCACTTTTGAAGACAGATGATATGGAGATTGCCCCTGATTTTTTTGATTACTTTGAGGCTGCTGCAGCCCTTCTTGAAAAGGATAAGTATGTCATGAATGAGATAAAGATCTCTCTGTTTTCTTTTGGGGTGTTTCATATTACTAAAAATGAGATGCGATCTTTTCCACCCCTTTCACCTTCTTGTTATTAAACCATGATAGGTCAATTATGGCTGTTTCCTCATGGAATGACAATGGGCAAAAGCAGTTTGTGCATGACCCATGTAAGTCTTTTCTCCATGTGGCATTTTTTTCCAGGAGAGGAATTGAGCTTAATGCATGTCTATATTTAAGATTTGGTTTCTTTTACAAAAATATTGCTTATAGTAGCCTCCATGACTTTTGATGTTCCATGCTATCTCTTGATCCGCCCATGTGGTGCTTACCTGAAAAATTGGGGCAGACTGTGAGATAGCTTATATTGTAATTTTATTCTAGTGCTAGCATACTCATTTGGATGTTTGCTTGTTTTCTAGACATCCACATCTCTCTCTTCATGTGCAATGCATAGTTGAAGTTCTGTCATTTTGCAATCAACTTCTGGACGACTCTTGCACTGTTGAATTTGCCTGCTCATCTTTGAACAAGTTTTAAAAATTTCTTGAAATGGAGAATTTTGGTGCTTTCTATTTCTTAATATGCTTTAATCGTTTTGTATAGATGCACTTTATCGCTCAGATTTCTTTCCTGGTCTTGGGTGGATGCTTACTAGATCTACGTGGAATGAGCTATCACCAAAGTGGCCTAAAGCATATCCTTTGTGGTTAAGTATAATGTAATTTGTACTTTATACTAATGCATAGTGATGCAGTTTTATCAACGAATTTTCCTTGACAAAAGTTCACTTACTGGGATGACTGGTTGAGATTAAAAGAGAATCACAAAGGTCGACAATTCCTTCGCCCTGAAGTGTGCAGAACCTATAATTTTGGTGAGCATGTACGTATGTTACCTTGTTGGTGAGAAGATTTCCTGTTTAAAATTGCTGTGATGACAAATTTTTTGAATGTGTTAGCTTGGATGAGAATATTTGTTTGGTAGTTTATCCTGCAGTACGCATGTCTTGGTTTTGCATCTGTCGTGAACTAGATAGAACAATGAGGCATATAGTCAATGTGTTTTCTGTTGAAAGTCATGTGCTGTGATTCTGTTGCATTGCTTCTGCAAGAATGTACAATGCACTTGGATGAATATAGTACCTCTATGGCTTCAGCCTTTTTTTTTTTAATTAAAGAATTCTCTTTAAGTTTTGAAACGACTTGTTTTCTAGCTTAAATAAAATTAAAATACCTGCGAATTTAGGCTGGTGTTTCACCCATCATTAACTCGCTATAGGGAGGTTCAGTAAGTTTAAATTTCCTCCTGAAAAGGTCGTTATCGTTTTGCTTTTTGCTAGGATCTTTACATCTCCCTTTTACAACCATGGCTCATTTCTTATTTTCAATCTTGTGATTTCAATCAGGGTTCTAGCATGGGACAGTTTTTCCAACAATATCTTGAGCCTATTAAGATGAATGACGTTAAGGTTGGCTTTAAAAGTTTCTATAATTCTCTTTAAAACTTTAAAATTTTGTATATTCCTTTCATCATCGTCATAATCTGTTGCTTTTCTTTGTGAAAGGTGGACTGGAAGTCTCAGGATTTGAGCTACCTAATGGAGGTAAAATTGGTGAAACCAGAAACCGCTTTTCCCTCTTTTCTTTTTTTTTTTACATTTGTATTGTATAATTGTTTTATTTTCTTTCTAGGACAAATATATAAAATATTTTGCTGATATTGTGAAAGAAGCAAAACCTGTCCCTGGAACAGATGCTGTTCTTATGGCATCTAATATAAAAGGTGATGTGCGTATTCATTATAAAGACCAATCAGACTTTGAACGCATCGCACACCAATTTGGAGTTTTTAAAGAATGGAAGGTAAATTATTCATATGATACTTGGGAATTTTTCTTTTCTTTTTTTGTCATGAAAGTGCTTGGAATTTTTGGTGATGATACATGAGAAGGGCCTGCATTATATTATATCTGGTTTACGCAGCTGATACTTGATTTTTGAAAGTCTTATTTGGACCCACTTCAAACAACAGGTGGATATTAGGTTTAACTGTAAGCTCCTTTACGATCAACTGCATGTAATTTTTGCTGCAATATTCTATATTCTGTTTTAGCTGGGCATTTCAAAATAATGGAACACCATGTACGACCTTTGATAGTGTTGAAATGGCCTCTCTCTCATTTACATGTGCCCTTTAAGCATGTAGAATAAAATAAAGCATACAGGCACTTTCACCTGATGCACAACAGAAAAAAAATGACCTTGATTTGAAGAACCCTTGCTGTTGTTCTACTTTTGTTGTTGCAGTACAAATAAACCCCGAACTGTTTTCTTGTATCTAAGATTGATTAGTTCCATTCTTCTCAAAAACTTCAATTGCTTTTGTTTTCTAGGATGGTGTACCGAGGACAGCATATAAAGGAGTAGTGGTTTTACGATACCAACCACCAAGACGTGTATTTCTTGTTGGTCCTGACTCTCTACGGCAGCTTGGAATCGAAAATGCTTGAAAACTGAAAGGTTAATAACCATGTCTGATTTTAATTATTTCCTTTTATTCTATAGATTAGCAGTCACTAAAGTTGGTTTAGCACAATTTTAGGAGGAATTAGTTCTGACACGTAGTTTCAATTTGTTCTAGCTTTGAAGTTGAAAGTTCTTACTGAAAATGATTTGCATTGTTATCTTTGGTTTTGTGTGACCAGTGTCCCTGATGAAATATTTCAAAATCGAATGGCAGATAGGTTCTGGCAGACAAATTGTGTTTTCGAGGCATCAAGGATAGAAATAGGATGGAGATAAATACTGGTTTCAATCTAAAGAGCTGGCTATGCTTCTCATATCCAACCGTTCTTGACTTTACAACCTCCATAATTTGACATTAATACATCCGCACTTGCGCAGGCATGCCCAGATATGGGCACGGAGGCCTTGATTTTTGTAGGTTTATGGCTCCATCTTTTATTATTCTATTTAATTTGATAGTTGGTAGTTCTACAGTGTGAAAGTATGATAAATCCCCCAAGCTGTTTCTGGTGGATTGATTATGCTAGTTCTAGTTATTGTCGAAAACTTCAATTTAAAAATGAATTATATCCAAAAGTTCCAAGTTGTAATCAGAAAATTGTTTGAAAACATTTTATTTTTCTTTCTTTGAGTAGATTTAACATTTTCAAATTATTTTGAAAGGTTAAAATATTAAATAAGTTTATAAACTTTTTCATTTCTTTTAAAATAAGTTTTTATTTTCTGTTGTGTTCAGTCGAGCTCTGATCTTATATATAGTCTTTTATGCTTGACGGATCACGTAGTCTAAATGGCCGTTACGTCCACTGCATCATTTGCACATGCTGATGTTTACATGAATTTTTTGATATGATGAAATCGATTTAATAGAAAGTCATGTAATCTATATCTATAATGAGCATGAAAGCTACACTTGTTACGTGATCGTTTTTTCTTCAAAATAGGTATTATTTGGATAAATAAAAGGGTGGAATAGAGATTAACTAGAAAAATTTCAGATTACAATTTCTTTTGAATGAGAGGGCCTTGTGAGCATGACCAAACCCACCACTTATGGGCCTTTTCCATGTTGCCAGAAATTCATTGAGCAACCGAAAAGTGAACCCAACAGCCCACTCCATTAAACCTTCGTCTTCTCCACGCATTCCCCGCTAATACCGCCTTCCAGGGGTGGAACCAACCAATTCCTAATGAGAATAATAAAACCAGCGTGACCAAACAGACTGAAAAAAGCTAAACTCCTTCAGGAGAAACCTAATGAAACTGCTGTATTATTCTTTTTTACCCTCTCTCTCCGTTTCCCTCCAACTTGAAACAAGCTCGAAGCTCTCTCAGCAATGGCGTCCATTCTCACACAAAAACCGAAAAAGACCAAATTAAAAGAGTTGAAAGCCCTAGGTCAGCAGCTCCTCTCATCACGCGCTCACATCAACAATCTTCCACTCCTCCTCACCTTCATATCCCCATTGTCGCCGCCTCAACACGTTCTAGAATCGCTCCTCTCGCTACAGTCCTTCTTCACTGCGGTGCTCCCCGACCTCCCTCCCTCTTCATCTTCAACAAAACGGCGCCGTCTCGAGGATTCAGCCGAGGAGGATCCTGAGTTTATTTACAGGACGTGGCTGAGGTCAAAGTTCGATGAGTTCGTTACATTGTTGATTGAAGTTTTGGTTTCACCGGACACCGAAGAAACTTTGAGAGTAACAATTTATTTTTCTTTTCTTTTTCTCTGTTCGTTTTGTTTTTTTAAATTTGAACTAGACTTCAGCATTTTCATCACTTTTCTATTTTTTAGGAAATTGTGTTGGATTCGTTCATGGAATTCGTGAAGCTAGGGAATGGGGGAAGGTTTTACTCCGCTATTTACCACAAATTACTGCACAGTATTGTAAGTTTTGTTTACTTTGAATTAGTGAATATGTTCTGTGATTTTTCGTAGGTATTTCTATTTCTGTTTGTAATTGGTTATCCTTATTGCAGGTTCACTCACCAACAGCTGTTGATACTTTATCAGAGTTGCTTGCGTCAAAGTATTTTAAGTATATTGATGTCCGGTATGATTCGAACTTTGTGTGGTTTATTGTAAATGCTTAATCTAACATGTCGTCTTGAAGTTTCATTATTTTAGAAATGGTTACGTCCGGTCTGTCCTCCGATTCCTTTCTTTTTGGTTTTGGATGTGATACTACATTACCGGTCATTGTTATTGATGGAACAGGCAATAGTGCATTCTAGGCAAATAGTGCTTTCCTTTGACAGCACAAATTTGTAGTTTCTGAGAACTTTGTTACATTTCTTATTGTCTTGGAGAAGAGTCATTTCTTGCTTCTTGTTACATGGTACTTTGGCTTTTGTCTCTCACAGGTTTTTTACCTTCATTAGCATGGAAAAACTTGCTAAAACTTTGGACACAAAAGATATCCCTGGTACCTTGTAACCATGGTCTCTATTCCAAAATATATCTCTTCAATATTTCTTTTGTAAATCTTTATATGATTCATTTCCCTTATTTTACCTGGTTTAGATGACAAAACTGCGGGTGAGGATGGCGATAGCGGGAGTCAGTCAAGAGACAGGTTAGATTTGGCCAGCATATTGTCCATATCTTTGCAAAGTATTCTTTTTTCTATACACTTGTGATGCAGTGCTGCAAAATAAATCTACTTAAAAATCTATTTTGTACTGAATGACTTAAATGAATTCAGACTTCCATTGTAGCCAATTACTTATTCAGTTATTCTCCTCTTTCTTTCCATAATGTATTTTGCAAGTTACTGCCAGTTTGCCACCTATTTCTTTACTAAATAACATAAAAAATTTATATTCACCTGTGTCATTTTTACCATGCTGGATCGTTGTTGTAATTTAAGTAACAGAACAGAAGGTTTCTGACTTGTTGCCCTCTTTTGTTGCAGCATGGAGATTTCTATTCACAAGATACATTATATTATATCTCACATCCCCCCTCTGGAAGGCATTGATGGAAAATCTGAGTATGAGATGTGGAGTGGATCGGGTGATTCTTGTTGTTTTCTATATTTAGAGATTATTCTTTAGCTCTTTTATAAAGGATTTAATTTTAGAAGAATAATTCTGTTGATCACCATCTAGAGCCTTGACTGTGAGAATATTATGATTCATTTCTTTCCTTCTCTCTGGAGGACAACAATAATAATATGGAAAATTTTCTGATTTGAATCTTCTTTTGATTCTCTGTGCATGGTGAGTGGTGTGAGTGATGTTAGCAAGTTGTTGACATTTTTGAGGCAAACTTCCCTTACTTGTAAATTGCTTAGTAAATTTGCTTCTGTTGATCATAATCTAGAGCCTTGACTTTGGGATTATGATTCATTTATTTTTTCTGCCTGGATGAAAATATTAATATGGAAAATTTTTTGATTTTAATCTTCTTTTGATTCACTGTGCTTGATGAGTAGTGTGACTGATGTTAGCAAGTTGTTGACATTTTGAGGTGAACTTCGCTTACTTTTAAATTGCGTAGTAAACTTGCTTCTTTATCAGTCAAACGAAATTTTAATCTTCTTTTTTTCTGCATTTAACAGGATTTTCATCTAAAGAAGAACAAGATCAAAAAGAAATTTCTAAGCTTCAAAAATCAGAAGATAAACAGCTCAAGGCTGCTAAGCAAAACAGTGATGTAATTCAGTGATGCTGATGTTTTATTGCTGTCCTTTCCATTTAAATTTAGTTGGGCATTTAGTGGACAATCTGCCTTTTCTGCTTATTTGAATTGACACTGCAATATTAAGTTCTTCCTTTTTATGTGGTTTTCTGCTTATTTCCAGGTGTTGTCTCCAGCCACTATTGCCAAGAAGATGAAATTGAAGTTTACCAAGGCATGGATTTCATTTCTTAGACTGCCACTCCCTATTGACATATACAAGGAGGTAAACACTACTGTTTTCTTAATCTCTTGCACTGATATTAAGTGTTTGCCCCTTGGCTTTAGCATTGGTGGTAGGCTGGGTTGAGGCTTACATTGATTTTGTTATGCATATCTTTTCCTGTTAATTTTCTATATGGATTTGTTATGCTTATTCTTATTGAGTCCTACTGCCTGCTATCTCTCAGGTTCTCGCCACTCTTCATCCGGCGGTCATCCCTCATTTGTCTAATCCTATCATTTTATGGTAAGTTAGTCTAACACCAACACTTTTAGCTATTATGGATGTGTCATCGTACTAATCTGATTTGTTAACTATAATATGCAGTGACTTTTTAACAAGATCATATGATATTGGTGGTGTTGTTAGTGTCATGGCTCTTAGCAGCCTTTTCATTCTAATGACACAACATGGTCTAGAGTACCCGAACTTCTATGAAAAGCTTTATGCACTTTTGGCACCTTCTATCTTCATGGCAAAACATAGAGCCAAATTTTTTCAGGTAATGCAGAGTGCTGACTTGCTCATTGTTTCGTCATAAGTTGATACTTCTGCTTTGTAATAATGCAATTGATGAGACTGTATCAAACTATTAAGATATGTCGAAGTCTACCTACTTATTTTAGACCCTTATCGCTAGATTTAAATGTATTTTCTTCATTGAATGTTAAGAGGCTGACATCAACGTTGACCAGCAACCTTGTCATTCATAGTTAACATTTTCATACTTCAAATGTTCAAATTTTTACTGTTATTAGGATTAGTTTTTGTTTCTATTCATGTAAATTTCTTTCTTTTCAGTTGTGCTTAATTGAATACTTTCTGATGTTAAAAGAACAAGGTACATAAAATGTTTCTTGTTGTAAGCACTGAGGTCCTTACCATGGTTGTCTGTCCCTAATCTATACCGTAGGATTTCAAAATCAACTCAGAAGTTCTGTTGGCTGCAGTTTACTATCTTCTAAATAATCTGTTCATTTGTTTTGCAGCTTCTTGACTCTTGCCTGAAGTCACCACTTCTTCCAGCATATTTGGCTGCTGCTTTTGCTAAGAAATTAAGCAGACTGGCAATTTCTGTCCCTCCTTCTGGAGCATTGGTTATCATAGCTTTGATTCACAACCTTTTACGTAGACATCCATCAATTAACTGTTTGGTGCACCAGGTATCGGTACAATCTTATTATTGTAATATTTGGGACACAAATGTAGTTAATCTAGTTACTCCCTTCCATAATTATTGTGCAACAGTGTTCATCAATTGGGCTACTTGAAGTGTTTCTCCATGGGAAATGAATTTTCTTATTTTTTGGCATTGTGCAGGAAGATGGTTTTGAAACTCAAGAGGATAATTCAAAAGGTGAGGATATAGTCAACAAGGCAGAAGATTCTGGGTCAGGCACGGATATTTCTCGCAATAGACCTGGTATTGATCATTTCAACAATGAGGAGAGCAACCCGATAAAATCTAATGCCATGAGTAAGTATTCTTTTCAATATATCTCATTCACAGCAAATTAATCCCATTTGCACTCTAGCGGCTGAGGCTAATCCCAGGCTACCACGATGGTTGAATTTATGAATCATTTGGCCACTGTAGACTGAATGGATGTATATTCAGCATAAAGGATAAAGCCTGATAACTATTGTGCATTATATGGGAAAATGGGAGTTTCTTCTTAACTGTGGTGTTAATTACTTATTGATTTTGGACCCTTGAGTCAGGGGTTCAACATTGATAGTTTGCAATTAACTCCTTAGCCACTGATTATTTGTAATTGAGGGCATGGCCGCAAGAGATAAATTTATTGTTGCCACCATATTAGTTTGTCTTGTCAAAATAAATGTAAGGGATTCTTATTTGAGTTTTGTGCCTGTTTGACTGAACTGGTTAACTTGGAGATTCTGGTATTTTCCATCTTTCATTTTTAATGCAAATTGGGTGTCATTTAATAATCTAAAGAAAACATCCAAGCTGCCTGAGAACTGAGTAGGCTTCCATCTTAAACAAGTCGAGGATGTACACTGGCCAACCGTACAACTTGACCCTTAGTGTATATCATTTGTGGTTGTACAGGCATGTATGCCATCTAATTTTTGAGTGGTGGCCTTTCCTTTCTTTGATGAGATTTTATTAAGTCAATGTTTCTTTAAACAGGGAGTTCACTTTGGGAAATAGACAGCCTCCGTCACCATTACTGCCCGCCTGTTTCAAGGTAAGCACACTGCACATTATCCTTTCCATCACTAGATGCATATGATTGTTGCTGTTTAAGTTTCCTTGTTCTTTCAGGTTCGTTTTGTCACTGGAGAATGATTTGACTGTAAGATCCAAGACCACTGAAATGGACATCAAAGATTTTAGTTCTGGTTCATATGCAACAATATTTGGAGACGAGGTAATATAATCTTTGTCCTTATCAAGGAGGCATTTCAGAATAAGCTTCACGGAGCCTTCCTGACTAGTATTTTTGTTATTTAAATAAGCGGCCGCAAATTTAGAAGTTCTTCAATTTAGGAATGGCGTTTCTTATTATTCGGACAGGCTGTCATATAGTTGACTTTATTGTTGTTGCTTATAAAATAAGGGAATGGTTCTGGTATGCACTTTCATTCTTTAATATATACGTTTTAAATTGCAGATTCGACGTCGGGTAAAGCAGGTTCCTTTGGCGTTTTACAAAGCAACTCCCACCTCTTTGTTCTCTGAGTCCGAATTTTCTGGTTGGACGTTCAAATATGGAGCAAGCAAGGAAAATGACACTGGAGGAGGGGAGCAGAGTATGGACAAGTCATCCAAAGAAAACGGTGTTTCTACAAAACGACAGCGGATAGAATGCTCATGATTCATGAATTTATTTCCGTGAGGAAGAATTAATAAATTAATTGGAAAACAAAAATGTTTGACAAAAGTTGGAGAAAATTTTGACCGGTAAATGCCGGTTTATTACCCGGTAAATGTAACTGACTCTTGCAATATTAGCTATTTTGAATGAGTCATTCCAACGTCAGCCGCGTGTCCATTTTCCTTTGTCGGACTAGCCCGGAAAGAACGAGAAGATTATTGCTCACCCAACATACTTGTCACAATGAGTTTTGTTTTAATTCAACAATATGATATAATAACACTGGGAAAGAAAATCTTACCTTTAAAATGCAACTGTTTTTCAATAATTGTCGGTACAAAGGAGCCATTGCAAAGCGTTTGCCCCGTTACGAGTTGTCGTTATCGATGGTGGAATAAGGTTTTTGTCCTTTTACTGCAACGACAGCGTTTTAGAGCACTGAATGCAGAGTAAGCGAAACCAACCACAAAAGGAATTGTTATATTGGTATGATGACAGCAAAGCAAAGCAAACCCACATCACCTTGCGCATCGATTGAACAGTAAGAAATGAGAGCAGAGCTGCTTCTGTTTCAACTTCCAAAGTTTTGTCTCAGTAAATTACTAAATACAAATTTTTATTTTATCCTTCGTAAAGGGAGGACAGAGTGGGTGCATTAATGTTAGAAAATTATTGTCCTTGATCCTCAAACGCAGAAATAGAAAAAGGAATTATTGGAGTACTCCTCGACTAGTATAGTATGGGCAGACCGGCATTTCATTCAGCGGGAGTGAAGCTAACGAACACGTGAAGTTGGGAGTTGTTTTCAGTAAGACAAGCCCCTTCACCACGTTGACTTCGCCCATTTCTTCCTACTTTCTCTTCTCTCTCTCTCTCTCTCTTTCCTAGGGTTTTTCTTTCGACCAATGCGCTAACATTTTTTACACTGACATTTGCCCTGCCTGCATCCCCATTGGGACGCTCTTCTTCTTCGGATTAGCTTCTTCCCAATGTCCCCAACATTTTTCAAGGTATGTTTTTACCATGTTTCTGCTTTCTGGGTATTTCTTCCTTGTTTCAATTTGGTCAATCTTTTCTTCTCTCTTTTTCTTTTCTTCTTTGTTGATTTCGCTTCCTCTTTCTTTACTGAATTTTCCTAATTAATCCCATTTCTTGATTCTTCTTTTCATTAGAAATGCGGGGTTTATAGTTTACATTTTTGGTTTCTTTTTTTTTTCTTTTTAATGTCTTTCATTAAAGTTGACCCGCGGGTAGATTTCTGGGAGGAGAAACCGAACTTTAACTGTAATTCAGCTCTCTGAAGCCATTTCATATGATGAGATCGGAAATGATTATTTCTTCTAGTATTTGGACTTGGCTTGAATAGTACATTCTTGACTTGAATTATGTTATTGCCTTGTTTCTTTCCTAACAATCTTTTCTTCTCTTTTTTAATTTGTTAGCACTTGGATCTGTTCGTTCATCTGCTGGATATTTGATAAAACTGTTAACATACTGAATTGGCGCACATTACAAGATCTTGATCGAATGCCAACCTCATTTGAAAGATAACATATCATGGTATCATGGAATAGCAAATGCTGGCTCTCATCCTATGTTCAAAATTCATTAAAGGAAATATGATTATGCATATTTCTTGAATTGTAGTTCAATTTGCTAGATGCTGTACCTGTGAAAATGTCATCTTTACGTCTGATAATGCTTTCATTGGGGATTTAAATTTTTCAAGCATATTATTCGATGCGATTGTTTTGAATTGATTATTGCAAAGTCTGTTAATGAGTTTCCTCATTTTTCTATTTACAGTCTCCTAGTGATTCTGGAAAACAAATGTGACTGACTGAATAGTCTCCACGACTATATGGCTGCTGCTTTCTGTGTCATCTTAGCACCGTCCCTTGCACTCCCCACATTTTTCCTCGAAAAAAGTTATATATATTAGTTTGTGTGCACTAAATATTAGTTTGAAACTTCTCATTTATAGTCTGGATAGAATTTCCATGGATGGCATTGCATGTTAACTACATCATTCTGCCAATCCTAGTTAGTGGTTGTCATCTGCATGCAGTGAAGGCTAGATCCCAGAGTTTCCCTTCATGCTTGTGCCCACAATCTATCTACAAAATTTTTTTGTTGTGATGCAACAATCTAATAACCACTGTTTTCATGATTGGGTTCTGCAAATAGTGCAGCTCCTAGATCTTTGTATGTCTGTGAAGGGATAACTCATTTCTATCCCTTTTGCCATTTGTGGGTTTAATAATTTGGTGAGATGTGCTGGGAAAAGTCTGCTAATAATGCTGCTGTTCACACATGATTTTGGTAGATGGGGAAACATTTCAAGCGGTCATAACAATCTCTTTTTATCTGTTTTCTCCGAACATTTTCCATGTGTTGACCATCCCTAAAAAGTCAGTGAATCATATTTATAGAATCAAGCAATTGCTCTAAGGTTTTCACTAAAATTGCATTAATGAAGCTAATTGAGCATGGATTCCTTCTTAACTGATGTTTTGTTAACATTTAGATTTTTCAAGTTGATGTGATGGTACTTTGTCCTGCATTTGTAACATTTGAATAATTTTATCTTTCCAGATTTCACTAATAACTTGACGGCGTGGAACAATGACAAAGAAACTGCCATCTTATGCTGAACTGCTTGCTACTAGGGATTGAAAAACCAAGCTGTTTAACAGTGCATTCATGTAAAGACAGTTGCCAACATAAAGATTCCTATATCTGAGGTTTAAGTGAATTATGAACCGAACGAACTTCCCAAAGCGATACTTAATTGTCATTTTAACCTTTATCAGCACATGTGTTTGTTATATAGAACGGGTCGGCTTCTCTATAGCATACACAGTTGCAGCTGATGCTGCTGGGATCAACCAATCAAGCAAAGGCACAATACTCTCCACGTTTTATTATGGTTATGCTTGTTCTCAGGTGCCTGGAGGATGGGCAGCACAAAAAATTGGGGGACGGAAGGTTCTTCTTCTCTCATTTGTATTGTGGTCTTCAACTTGTTTTTTGGTTCCTCTAGATCCCAATAGGGTCACAGTCTTGGTTGTTGCTCGTTTGCTTGTTGGTGTGGCACAAGGTTTCATCTTCCCTTCCATCCACACTGTCCTAGCACAGTGGGTTCCACCCCATGAGAGATCAAGATCTGTTTCTCTTACAACTTCCGGCATGTACCTAGGTGCAGCTATGGGAATGCTTGTCCTTCCGAGCCTGGTGAAGTTCAAAGGTCCGCAGTCTGTATTCATTGCAGAAGCTGCATTAGGTGTTGTGTGGTCTTTGCTTTGGTTTGGGTATGCAACTGACCCCCCTCGATCTGAGCATCCTAAAGCCACTGCAGCTGGTTTTGGAGAATCTTTGTTGCCAACCAAAGCAAGTCAGAAGATAAAAGTGGAGAATGGAGGAACTACTGTCAGAACTGCCAAAATCCCATGGAAAAGAATTTTAGTCAGCAGGCCAGTCTGGGCAATTGTGGTAAATAATTTCACTTTCCATTATGCTCTGTATGTATTGATGAACTGGCTGCCAACATACTTTGAGCAGGGCCTCCAGCTCAGTCTTCAGGAAATGGGTTCTTCTAAGATGATGCCTTATTTTAACATGTTCATATTCTCAAATATTGGTGGGGTTCTTGCTGACCACTTGATTACGAAAAGAATATTGTCTGTGACTAAAACTAGGAAGTTCTTGAACACCATAGGGTTCGTGGTTGCTTCTCTTGCATTGATGGCACTTCCAATCTTCAGAACTTCTGGTGGAGCTATCTTCTGTTCTTCTGTGGCTCTTGGTTTCTTGGCACTTGGGAGGGCTGGGTTTGCAGTGAATCATATGGATATTGCGCCCAGATATGCAGGAATTGTAATGGGCGTCTCTAATACAGCTGGTACTCTAGCTGGGATTATTGGGGTTGATATGACTGGACAGCTTCTTGAAGCTGCCAAAGCTGTGTATTCAGATCTTTCTAGTCCAGAAAGCTGGAGAGCAGTCTTTTTCATTCCTGGCTTGCTGTGCATTTTCAGTTCTTTCATATTCTTGCTATTCTCAACAGGGGAGAGGATTTTTGACTGAAATAAGCCACGTACATTTGTACTGTTGATTGGTACGGTCAGCTGGTCAAGGGCTTCATATGCAAAGCTATCATGGTGATTAGTCTGGTATTTTAATGCATGTAAACCCCACCTGGGAAGGATATATTGAAATTCACAAGACCATAGAAGGTCAAAAGAAATCAACACAGAGCAGTAGCAGTAGCAGATTTAGAAAATCATTTTTTGATTGTTAATGCAGGTTTATTTTTTCCACATGGAACGATGAAACTTTTGTTAAATGCATTGACTGATTTACATGTAAACAGGGGCCAGACCCTGTTGCCCTGAGATCCTACAATCTTCTTGCTAGTACTCTCTAACTAGAAAAGTTTTAAATTTTGCCCCTTTGAAATTGAATGAGTGTTTCACTTTATATTTTATTGTTGTTCCTATTATGTAACCACCGAAGTTTGATATGGGGACGAACTTAGCATGCCTTAATTATCTCCAATTAATACTACCTCTTTGATACCTAACTAATAAATTGTATTGAAATTAAAGCCGACATCGCCAATTAATAATACTGCTTTGGTAATAAAAGCAAATTTTATTTTGTAGGGGTGCTTTAGCTTAACTAATAAATTTGATTCAAACTAAAACAAACATCTCCAATTTATAATATTGTTTTGGTAATAAAAGAAAATTTTATTTGGTAGTAATACTTTTGTCATGTCAAACTCTTCAGAATAAATAAAAAGATATTTCAATCCAAAAGATTTTGAAACAATTTATAAGTTTGGATGTTGCATATTTTAACGAGTTAATTTTTTTTTTAAAAAAAGTAATGGTCTCATGACAAAATAGTATTAGAATGAAGCCGATGTAAGTAGTTGACGACAATAAAAATGTCATCGAATTAGGTAGATAGAGAAATTCTGAAAAACTTGATAATAATCTCGTGACTTTTTAACTTAATTAATAAATTTTATTGACAATAAAGTCATTGAGAGAAATTTAATTATTTAATAAAAAACATAAAGATCAACAAAAACTCTAAGATATTTTTAAATTATAGTAATTTTCATGAAATTTTTTTTTTCATTACAAAGCTTTAAATTTGTTAAGTACTTATAAATTGTTACACAGTTATACAGTGGTGGTGAAAGCAAGTTTCTAATACTAAACAACATTTTAGATTATTTGTTTTCTGATGCTTAATTCTTTAGAACATGTGCTTGATTTACTGGCAGACACTTTGTCTTTGTTGTATAAAACGAGACAAAGCCAGCACTTGAACCACCCAATGACTATGGAAATACACTTCCACCACATATAAACTCTGGGCACCTTATGTTGATTAGAAGGAAATCACAGTGAGATGTAACAAAATGTGTTTCATATGCCTTGTAAAGCTTTAGCCACGTGGAGCACTAGCCGCTAGTGGAGGTTCTACAAATTTGTTTTCAATAGGTACATTTTAACTATGGGGTTGACCATTTCTGTGGACCACCGTCACTGGTCCAATCTCACTTTTCTAGCAGCGTCCAGTGGTCCACGTATCTTCTGCACAACTCGGAGGGACATTGAAAATCGGTTGCCCGAAATCAGTGAGACTGAAGTATCTTCTTGTATCCTAATCAAATCTTCTTTTCCCTGTTTAATCGTAAATGGTTAACTTATGTTTTTCCTTGTTTTTAAACCCATATTTGATTTAATTAATTAATATATTTTTAAAAAAATTAAAAATATTATTATTTATCTTTAAATTTAAGTATTTAGTTTATTAATTAATATATAATTTTTTCTTAAAAAATAAGACTCGAACCTCTTTCTTCAAATTCAAAAAAAAAATATTATCTATCTCTAAATTGTAAAAATAAAAACAACAAAAGCAAAATGTAGAGAATCACCTGTCACATATGGAAAAAAAAATCTTAATTTTAATAGCATGTTTGGTATAGGGAATAACTTTATTCTTCAAAATCCATCAAAAATAAGATTTAATTAATTCCAATCCCTTATGGTATTTGCTATTTCATAATTAGGAGAATAGCTCCTAAAATTGATAAGATTAAAATGCTTTTTATTAAAAATTTTAAAATTATTAACATTTTAATCACTATAATATTTAAATTATAAATAAAAGATTAATATTTACAAAATATTAATGTTTAACTTATTAAATTATTAATATTTTAAATTTTTAATTAAAATATAAATTAAAAATGAAAATAGATTAAAAATAAAAAATAAATACTAATATTTTAAAATAAAATTTTAAAATTTTTATGAAAATAAAAATTAAATGATTAAAAAAGAAAACTGTTTACTTATTTTTGTCATTTGGTGTAAATTTTATTAAATTATATAAAGGGTTTTTTAGTTTTTTTGAAAAATAAATCTTAGTTTAATAAAAGTCTAAATTTTTAATTATATATTATAAAAAAATTAATTAAAGCTGAAGGCATTACCGAAATGCTAAAGCTGTATGGGCCTACATCACGGAAGCATTAGTTTCCATCCATTTACGTCAGCTCAAGCCACTGAGCCATGGCGAAAGAGGAGGTCCTACCATTATAGTACCCGAACATAAGCTCTAATAAAATGCAGACAAATATGAAATATCATCAAGGGAAAAGTAAGGAAGTCATGTATAATCTGGTACTGCTTCCTACAGGTCTAAGCACTCTTCATTTCCCTATTCCTTTCTCCCATCTAGGCCTGAAGTGGAATGATCTTTTTCAAGCAACTTGATTTGTTCTTTTCACCAAAGTGATAACCAAGATCAACACCGTACAAAAAAAATAAAGAGAAGGGAAAGCAAACCCACTTCTACAATTACCTTAATCATTAGTTTGATCCATGATCAATTAAAATATGATCAAAAGTTTAAAACCAGAAACCCCATTAAGATCACATTCCAATTAAGATCACCATCACAGTTTTGCAGCCAGTACCGTTGTTTTCAAATTCCGGCCCGTCACTCTATCTCGATGGTATATATTCTTTCCTTAAAAGTCTTTGTCCTAAGAAATTAGACCAATTTGTTGTATATGTATGGTTTATGGAATTTTCGACTGTCCCATTTGAGGCTGACAAGAGACTGACAGAGCAGAAAGAGAAACAGTAACACCACAGGGAAACCAACATGGAAACCCCAGTTGTTCCGTTTTCTCTAATCTAGAAGTATTCCTATTCCTATCTAATACTAAAATAATAGGGAAAATGCCTTCTTTTTCTTTCTTGTAGCACCCCAATGCCTTTTTCTTTGTGGACATTTCTCTTTCCCAGTAGCTACTTTATTGTTTCCATTTGATATGTCTTTTTTGAGCTCTTTGTATTAATGGTTCTAGCTTTCGTTTTCGGAAGATTGGTGGACTCTCTGCAGTCACTTGTTCTGAATTCCGTCGCCATGCGTTTGCTTTTCAGCTTGTGGTGAGTGTTGGTTCCCTCGTGAATATCCAGAAACCACCCGAACCTTTACTTTTGCAGCCTCGCTTGCTGTTGGTGGGATATTTGTTGCTTTATCCAGTTTGCTGTCTACAAAGTACAAAACTTTGTGCTTTACTTTGCTTGTTGTTTTTTGTATTTTTTCTTTCTTTTATCCATAAAGCGTTATGCTGTTGCTTAATTAATTAGTCTTTAGTTCTCCATGCCAGAACTTGAAATGGGTTTGTCTTGTTCTTTTGGGAGACTTACTTCACTAAGCTAAATTTTTAAAAAATTCTTTTTGGGCTCTTTGCCTTCTGGGTTTGTTAGTGTTGCTACTTCCCTTGTAACGGAATGATTCCCTTTGCTTTCCGTGGATAATACAGATTTCTGGTTAATTTTGATCTGATTCTAATATTTGTTCAGCGTGACCATTAATTCATAGACAAATTGGTGGATTCCGTTTATTCATCTTCTGTCATGTGCTTGAAGATAGATGGTCAGTGGTCAGAAATGTTATTCAGTATCACCATGAACCTGGTTTTGCTGCTGTCAACTTCCATTCTCTTTATTGGAGTGTTTTCAGAAGAGGCTTCGAAACCTGATGTTGTCAATGTTGGAGCTATTTTCTCATTTAATTCTATCAATGGGAAAGTTGCAAAGGTTGCAATGAAGGCTGCTGAGAATGATATTAACTCTGATCCTAGTGTTCTTGCTGGTAGGAAATTGACTATAAGCCTGCATGATTCTAACTACAGCTCATTTCTTGGCATTATTGGAGGTATTCCTTCCTTAAGTCTCTTCAATCTCCTTTTGTCCCTAACTTTTGATTATGTGTATCTTCAGTTAGTTTCATTCATATCGTGTCACTAGATCTCTATGTTTAAAGCGAGTGTTTCCTAGGATAAGTAACAGTATTTATTATGAGTCATTGCTTGTCAGACGAATAAAGTTATTATACCTCATTTTTCACGAGTATTTTCATGGGGAAATAACAATACTCATAATTTGTATTTCTTTGCTATTCGCAGCATTGCAATTTATGGAGACTGATAAAGTAGCAATAATTGGTCCACAAAATTCTGTGATGGCTCACGTCCTATCACATCTTGTAAATGAACTCCATGTTCCACTATTGTCATTCACGGCCCTAGATCCCAGCCTGTCACCTCTGCAGTATCCTTTCTTTGTTCAAACAGCCCCAAATGACCTATTCCAGATGATTGCCATTGCTGAGATGGTTAGTTATTTTGGTTGGGCTGATGTAATTGCTCTTTTTAGTGATGATGATCAGAGCCGAAATGGTATAATCACATTAGGCGATAAACTTTCCGAGAGACGTTGCAGAATTTCTTATAAAGGTGCACTTTCACCAGACCCAACAGCAACACGAAGTGAAGTTTCTAGAGAATTAGCTAAGATTCAAATGATGGAATCTCGAGTAATTGTTCTTCACACTTTCTCAAAAACAGGTCTCTTGGTCTTTGATGTGGCCAAGAGCCTTGGAATGATGGGGAAAGAATATGTTTGGATAACTTCTAGTTGGCTGTCCACTGTTCTAGATTCAACTTCTCCACTTAAATCAGAGACAGCAAACTCAATCCGAGGAGCACTAACACTTCGTCCTCATACACCTGATTCGAAAAGGAAAAGGAATTTTATGTCTCGTTGGAACCAGCTGAGTAACGGTTCTATTGGGTTTAACCCTTATGGTCTATATGCGTATGATACTGTTTGGATGATTGCTCGTGCAGTAAAGTTGTTACTAGATCAGGGCGGCACCCTTTCATTTTCCAATGATACAAGATTGAATGGTCTTAGTGGGAGGACTCTTAACCTTTCTGCATTAAATACATTTGATGGTGGGAAGCAGTTGCTTAAAAACATATTGGAGACAAATACGACAGGTCTGACAGGCCCTATGCAGTTTAATCAAGAAAGATCCCTGATAAATCCTTCATTTGACATTATTAATGCAATTGAAACTGGGAATCAACTTATTGGATACTGGTCTAACTACTCCGGTCTTTCCATTGTGTCACCAGAGACACTTTATGGTAAAAAGCCTAACCGTTCTAGTTCAAACCAACAGTTAGACAGTGTGGTATGGCCTGGAGGAGAAACAACAAAGCCTCGTGGATGGGTTTTTCCGAACAATGGAAGAGAACTAAGAATTGGAATTCCAAAGCGAGTTAGCTACCGAGACTTTGTGTTGCTAGTCAATGGCACGGATAATGTGGAAGGATATTGCATAGACGTATTCCTTGCTGCAATTAGATTGCTTCCATATGCTGTTCCATACAGGTTCATTCCGTTTGGAGATGGCCATAAGAACCCAAGCTATTATGAGCTTGTCAGTGAAGTTAGTGCTGGTGTGAGTAGACTAAAATGAAAGTGCAACCATTTTCCTAAATGATAAAATGTATAATTATGATTTCTACCAGTTCTGATATTCTGTTTCTGTAGGTCTTCGATGGTGTCGTAGGTGACATTGCCATTGTGACAAACCGAACAAAAATAGTAGATTTCACTCAGCCATATGTAGAATCTGGGCTGGTTGTGGTAGCTCCAGTCAAAAAGATAAGTTCGAGTCCTTGGTCCTTCTCGCGGCCATTTACTCCATTAATGTGGGCAGTCACGGCAGCGTTTTTCCTCATTGTGGGAGCAGTTGTGTGGATCCTTGAACATAGAATAAATGATGAATTCCGGGGCCCTCCTAAGCAGCAAATTGTCACAATTTTGTGGTGAGTATATAATTACATGAATTCATCTTTGTTTGGATGCATTAGCATATGGCGTTCATAAATGAATAGAAAAGACGAAATTCAACTTTTTCTGAATGCTATAAAACCCAAAAATTTAACTACAGATGAGTGAAATTAAAGTTTATGATGGAGGTCCTACTGAATGCAAGAAGATAATCAAGCATGATTTGAGCAATTGTTAGGAAGCATACCATTGTAAACCATCTCTGCCTCCCCCCTTTTAATTACAACCACCAGTGCCTCTTTACTCACATGCGTATCCTCTGTCTAAAAGAAGAAGCTCTCCAAGGAGAGATTTCTTATCTTCTTGATGTTTTCTTTAGCTGCAGTGATGGAAACACATAACTACCACAATATTACAGGAGAAATATGTCAGCTTCTCTCTTTCTCTCTTGCCTCTTAGTTTGTTGATGTGTTTTATGTTCCATTTGTTGTGAATGTTTTCATCACTTGTGAAATGTTGGATTTTCTTTTTACTACATTCAACATGTAGCACCTGTACAATTTATCTAAGCATTCATCCTGATTGTGAGAAATCATATCTGCAAATTTGAAATGTACAATCAAAAAACAACTCTGTTTTGCATCTATTTCCATTTGACCTGTGACTTGTTTGTTGTCTTTCTGACTCCTGATCTGTCTTGCTCCTTTTATCCTGTTGCAGGTTCAGCTTCTCTACAATGTTTTTTGCCCATAGTAAGTTATTTCCATTTTGACAATTTCACTTATTTCAACCAAGAAGTTAGAACTCAGAATTACCCATACCCAATATAACAACTCTGGAGTTTTTGAAATTTCCAGGAGAAAATACAGTGAGCTCGCTGGGACGCCTTATACTGATTATCTGGCTTTTCGTAGTTCTGATAATCAACTCAAGCTACACTGCAAGCCTGACATCAATCCTCACGGTGCAACAGTTGTCATCACCCATCAAAGGAGTTGATACCTTAATTAGTAGCAATGAACCGATAGGCTTCCAAGTAGGGTCTTTTGCTGAAAACTATCTGATAGAGGAACTGAATATTCCAAAATCAAGACTTGTTTCTCTTGGCTCACCAGAAGAATATGCCCATGCCCTGCAGAGTGGAAGGGTAGCTGCAATAATTGATGAGCGACCCTATGTGGACCTCTTCCTCTCAGACCACTGTAAATTCTCAATTAGAGGCCAGGAGTTTACTAAAAGTGGATGGGGATTTGTAAGTTATCTCACATGAGGCTAATTCATCTTTTTTTTTCCTCTGCATATTCCAGTAAATCGAGTTAATTGAAGTTCCTCAATGAACCATAATGCTGTGACACAACATTCAACAAAACATAAAAGTTTGTACAAGTTGCATCGTGCATAAGATTCAGCAAGTCATCCTTGAGCTATAAAAATGCACAATTCAGCTAATTATAATGTCTCAATCTTCAACACCTATGTTCATTCTATTACGCACGGTGAATGATTTCCGCTATAATTTTTTTCCCTGGTTCAGGCATTTCCTAAAGACTCTCCACTAGCCATTGACATGTCTACTGCCATTCTTGCTCTATCTGAGAATGGTGAGCTTCAGAAGATTCATGACAGATGGCTGTCAAGGAAGGCTTGTAGTTCTGAGGCTGAATCTGAACAGCTTGACTTACAAAGCTTCTGGGGGCTATTCCTTATATGTGGAATTGCATGTGTTCTTGCTCTCCTCGTGTACTTTTCGTTGATGTTTCGCCAGTTCAGCCGGCACTGTCCTGAGGTACCTGATTCTACAATCCCTGCAAGCTCCCGTTCTGCACGTCTTCAAACATTTCTATCATTCGTTGATGGGAAGGTAGAGAAACCCAAAAGCAGCTCAAAAAGAAAACGTGAGAGTATTTCAGGAAATGGTTATCATAAAGAGGAGGAATTGACTTTTAGATCGGGGAGGATTGAGAGGGACATTTCCCATGAAAGGCAGAATGGTGACTCATGGCTCGTTAAATAATATGGTCAGTTGCAATTGAATACTACTACTCTCACGGATCACTTCATCCTCCAGTTTAGAAGGATCGTCTTTGATGTTCTAGGTAGAGATTGTTCACCCCCATTCTCTGCTCCAGTGGTCCTCCTGGGGTTTCAGCTGATTCAATCATCTATACAGAGGCATTAACGTAAAAATGTAACATATTACATATATGATTATGATCTATAAGAAACAGTGTGAATGTTTCTCAAGTATAGTACTTCACAGCATGCAGAATTGATCACTGCAGTTCCTTGTTCAGATCATAGTGAATGCGATGCCCCTACCCTTTTCTTTCAAGAAAAATCATAGGCTTGCTACCGAGCTTGTTACCCCTTTGGCCACTCTGTGCTGGCCATTTCCGTGGGGGAATCAAGCACCATGAAGGAAAATGCCGGAACCTTCAGCGCAACTGATTAATAGCTGCTGGAATGGGTACCAAGTTTAGGCTTGTAGACTGTTTGGTTTCAGGTGCTGTATGTTATTCCTGCTACCAAGACAAAAGTTTCAGGTGCTGTTTGGTCTTGGGAGTTATTGTTGGGAGCAAGGAAACGTTTTCAATCAGCCCCATACCACAATAAATAAATGAGATCCTTCACAACGCTCTTGTTCAGTTTGTTTAGTAGCCGAAGGCCCAACTTCAGCCGGGCTGTAAATAATGCTAAACCTTGCGTCCAATCAAAGGTTGCCTTCAAGAATCGAACGCAATTTGCAACTGTGTTTAGTGAATTACAGAATTCGATATATATTATTTAACATTAATTTAATATTTAGTATTAGAAAAAGGTTAGCGGGGTTTGGCTGAGTGTCCCTTTCAATCTAAAGAGACAGAATTCCAGCACCCACCACCTCCATTTCCAGTGTTCCCCTCTCTCATTACTCTCACTTAAACCCTAAAGAAAACCCTAATTTCCCAAATTTTCATCATTTCCGGATGGCAATCTGCTTTCTATTTCAACCCCCTCTAAAACCCATCAACATCCCTCCATCATCAACCAAAAGAGCCCCCATCTTTAGATGCAAAGCCTCTTTTTCCACCACCATCACCACAGAGCCCGAGCCCCAGCCCGTCTTCACCTTCGTCAAGTCCTTCGCCCCTGCCACGGTCGCCAATTTCGGCCCAGGCTTCGACTTCCTCGGCGCCGCCGTCGACGGCCTTGGTGACTTTGTCTCCGTTAGCCTTGACTCCTCCGTCCGTCCCGGTCATGTGTCGATCTCGGAAATCTCCGGATCTTCTAAACTCTCCTCTAACCCTCTCTTCAACTGCGCCGGCATCGCGGCCATCGCCGTCTTGAAAATGCTTCATATTCGCTCCTTCGGCATTTCCCTCAAACTCGAAAAAGGCTTACCTTTAGGAAGCGGCCTCGGTTCCAGCGCCGCCTCAGCCGCTGCCGCCGCCGTGGCGGTCAACGAACTTTTCGGCGCCAAACTCGGAGCTGACCAGCTGATTCTAGCTGGATTAGAATCCGAAGCAAAAGTGTCCGGTTATCACGCCGATAATATCGCTCCGGCAGTCATGGGAGGTTTCGTTCTAATCAAAAGCTACGAACCTCTAGAATTAAAACCCTTAGTTTTCCCCAGTAATCAGGAACTGTTTTTCATATTAGTTAGCCCGGACTTCGAGGCCCCCACCAAGAAAATGCGGGCGGCTCTGCCCGCGGAAATCGGGATGCCGCACCACGTGTGGAATTGTAGCCAAGCGGGTGCATTGGTGGCTTCGGTGTTGGAGGGTGACGTGGCAGGGTTGGGGAAGGCGTTGTCGTCGGACAAGATCGTGGAACCGAAACGTGCGCCGTTGATTCCGGGGATGGAAGGGGTCAAGAAGGCTGCGATTGAAGCCGGTGCGTTTGGGTGTACGATTAGTGGGGCGGGGCCGACGGCTGTGGCTGTGATTGATAATGAAGAGAAAGGGAAGGAGATCGGGGAAAAGATGGTGGAGGCGTTTCTAAAAGAAGGGAATTTGAGGTCGGTGGCTATGGTTAAAAGGCTCGATAGAGTTGGTGCTAGGCTTGTCGACAGTTGTCCCAGATGATGATCAAATTGAGTGAGGAATGGCTTTGAATCGAGTTATAAGATATGAACATGTGGTTTTGAGTTTGAGAGTTGCAGCCCAATTGCGACAGATTACTTTGTTGGTTATAACACGGGCTTTGGTGAATAAAAAGCTTCAACTTTCTTCACCTTTCCCGAAGTAAAGAGAAATCTTTCTGCTCTTAACCTTTTGTCTTCTCAACTTTCAGTTTTTGGAAACCATAATATATCCAAATGTAACATTTGAATAAGAAAATTTAAATGTCATTTAGAAATTATAACAAATAGGGAAACAAATTTATATGTTATTCTCTTTCTACATAAATCAAACTGCCTACTTGCCAGCACCTCCAATAAAATCAAAGGGAAAGAAAAAGAAGATTTGAACACCCGTCAAAACTTTCAATATCCAACATTAACCGACTCAGTTGTTCTTGGCAGCTGCAATCTGTTTCGCACCCACGGAGAAGAATTCTGTAATGACTTCTAGAGGCATGCCTTTTGTTTCTGGAACTTTCAGGAAGACAAATACCCATGATATAACACAAACCACTGCGTACATGCCAAAGACACCAGGGAGACCAACGGATTTGAGCAGCACTGGGAGTGAATATGTGACGATGATGTCACAAATCCAGAATGTGAGGGCGCATATGGCAATGCAGATGCCACGAACCCGCGTTGGGAAAATCTCGGCACATAGTATGTTGGGAATCGGCCCAAATCCCATGACAAAGAAACAGAAATAGAGCACCACACTAACGGTTGAGATTGCTGCATGCACAACGTTCCCCATTTTCACAACACTTCCGAGGACCAAGATGAGAAGAGATGTTGTCAGGACTGGGATTGTGGTGAGCAGCAAACTCCTGCAACAGAGGAAGAGGGGGAAAATGATTGACAGATGAGAACAGATCAAGTAACAACACAGAGGAAAGAAGAGTTAATCAGAATGTCAATGTCAAATCCCCTTGCAACTTTGAATTAAAAGAGCTTCTATGATATTCTTCTTTGACTGGGCTTATTGTTAACCTGCTTACACCGCAGACCCACAAGGCAACAATCAAAATGACCACAGACCTGAATGCTACCAGCCACCATGAACATCACTGACCCAAACAAGACGAAAATGGACCACCAAGGCGTAGGGGAGGGTTAGCATTTCCTCCTAAGCACTTAATGCTGCCAAGGCTAAACACACTTTTCATTTTGAATTGGTAATACAAGCAAAGACCTGGTTAATTTGACAATATTACGAGAACTTGTATATTAAACAGAGAACAAATAAAAGATAAAAGCAGAGACTTAACATTGGATATGAGCTTTAATGCTGCAGGAAAACCAAAATTCGGTTCGGCGTTTTTCTGTTCATTTTGTAGATCTCTGTTAAGATAGCTTATAGACTTGGCATTTAATAAACATAATTTTCTAACTTTGGTGGTTTTCAAGGAAGCCACATTGAACATAAGCCATCCAACCAAACCTGACTTATGAGTGACACTTAAATTGTAAGCATGGCATGTTCTAATGAAATTGTAAAATAGCAGTTACAAAGTTAACCAATTCTTTTCTAACCTATCAAATGGGGACAAGTAATCAACAAAATCCACCATCATATTATTGGCACATTTGAGACAATAACTACAATTATACCAGCCTTTGAAAAAAAAAAAACTACAATTATACCAACAGGAAGGTATATGAATAAGGGTTAAGCAATTTCCACACAACCAAAATTTTCAAATTTCAAGGCAATATATATCTTGTGCTTTCACGTGAGACTTGTTATCATTCCAAGGGAACTCAAAAAAGAAATAAACTTACCTTCTACCAGCAATATCCATAAGCCGCATGGCAACAGCGATACTTGGAAGCATCAACAAAGTTGTAATGCCACTAATAAGCAGCGATGTAGAAGATGAACTGAGGCCCAGGTTAGAAAGAAGAACTCCAACTCCTGCCTGCTCAAGAATTTGGGGAGTGTAGTATAGAACACCATTTATACCAGAGAACTGCATTTAAAAAGAGAGAAAATAAGGATCCTTAATATGCAAGTGATGCGACGGTGGAACATAATTTTGCAACAGTACTACACCCCACTAATATTAATGCATCTTAAGCTTGTACTCCATAAAAGGGTAGAAAGAGGTGGCAGGTGTTCTGTTCAAAGAATGCTGTGCAGAAATATAAACAATATAGTGCAATTAAAGCAAAACAAATGGCCATTTGTAGCAGCCGTCTTCAATCTCATACTGTATCATTTGAAACGCAAACAGCCGTGCCATGAGTTCTATTCCATGAATGTCATATCTGAAGGTTTGAACAAGATTCTGATTTAAAAGCTAAAGATATCTGTTTCTGTAAGCTGTATCTAACCTGAGACAGATTCAATATCCCTAGAACAGTAAAGCAGGCTATAATGCAGCCATGAGAAAACAATTTTTGGATGAGAAACAAGGATAACAGAAAAAACTTGATAATTCTGCATTAACAAGCTAGAAGGGTTATTTGAGCTGTTTTTCGGAAAGAGAACAAGCAGGTCAGTAGAAGATTGTAGTTAGGTTCTCCACATTACCTGCTGAAGTATTTGAATTCCAACCCCTACAATTAAAGCATGCTTGACTCCTGGTTCAAAGAGGTCACTCCAACTTGGTCCCTTTGCAGTTTCAGCTGGATGAACCATAGCTGGTCCAACCGGATGCTGCTTCAAAAGCTCCTTGGAATAAAGAGCTGGCTGACTCACCAAAGCAGCAGCCTGGACATACTCACTTTCTGCAGGGGCCGCATCAGCACCGGGCAGAGAAACTAGTGACCCACGCCTAGATCCAGGGATGCCTTCTTGGTGCAAATAGATTCTTTTAAATCCCCCTTCCTTTTTTCCATCTTGGCCTTCCTTTTCAGACCATTTCCATGCCAGCTGCCAACCACCACCAATCCCCATGCTACCTGGTTCTCCAGCGTTTGCTTGCATTAGACTACCCTGTCTCATGCTTGTAAGGCTTCCATGGGCAGGTGGAACCATGTCCTTCTCCACACTGGTTGTCTGCCGTGAGATCAGAGGACTCTGCAAATTGTCATCAGAATCACCACCAGCACCATCAGATTGGTAGTCCTCACCCTCTCTGACAACACTTTCCTCATCCCACTCTTCATTTCTAGCTTGATTACCTCCCACGCTGAACATGCTTCCAAAGTGTGGAAAAAGTGTGCTTCGCATACTTCCTGTTTCCGGGAGCCTCTCATGGACACTTCCAAAGAGGGTGACAAGAGGATCCACGAGACCAAGTGTACTCTGGTTAGCTATGCTTCCATGCCGAGACACAAGACCAAGAGTGCTCTGTCCAGTGACAGGTCTGGCCACCCAGGAAAGACCTTCTTCCGGTCCATATAACTTGATTCGATCTTTATCAGCAGATACATCAAGGTCTTCAGCATCCTCATTGGCTGGGCCAATTATATACTCCTCTATGGATGTTTCACCTCCAACACCAAGTCCCTCAACTAGCAAAGCCATCTCACCTGTTCATCTAAATAATATCAGTACCATCCACAAGATGCATCATTATTCATCATATTGCAGCCCATGGTAGGCAGTGATTGCTATTTTAAAACTTCTGTCTAGAAAAAGGGAAAGCAGTCTCAGAAGTTAAAAGTACGTTCAGTTACCAAGAGGGATCAACTTCAAAATAACACATGCAATCACAACATTTGACTGATTTTATTGTCAGATAAATCAATTTAACATAGATGATATTCTAGTTCCCTCTTTGTTAAGGGAAGCAAAGATTAATAACCTTTGAGAAGAACCTACTTTGTGAGATCTGACACACACACATGAACAGGAGCACCTATGCAAACACATATTTGGGTGGCAAGTACAATGTGCATAGAGGTAGTAAACAAAACAATCCAGTTTTAAAAGAGGGACTGCAGAAGAACTAACCAGCAACATCTTCCCTGCCACGTAGCCTCTGCAAAACCTTTTTTGCCTCACTCATCCGCCCTTTACTTACTAGCCATCTTGGTGACTCGGGCAAGAAGAATACAGTTAATGCAAAGTAGATAATGGAGGGAATAAAAAGAACTCCAAGCATCAATCTCCAACTTGGTAAAGTCATTAATGACATTCCAAAAACCATGCAATATGACAGAAACATTCCAATGGAACCAGTAAATTGTGGAAGGGTATTCAACAACCCCCTTATTTCCGGTGGTGCAGTCTCAGATATATAAACTGGGACCAGAGTTACAGCCAAACCAACTCCAAAGCCATCCAATAGTCTTGCCAAAAGTAAGATATAAACATTAGGAGACCATAACATTACAAGACCACTAATAATATAAAGGACGGATGAGATTATTAGCATGGGGCGGCGGCCTAGCCAGTCTGATATGCCTCCTGAGCATGTAGTAATGCAGGTGGCTCCAATAAGAGACATGGCTACAATCAGGCCTTCCATAGTTGGTTCACTTTCCAATTTAAACTCTTTCTTTATGTACAAAACAGCGCCTGCAGAATGAAACACACAAAGGAAAAATCTTTCATGAATCTGAAGACAGCCACAATCGCTTTATATTGAAGCAGAGAAAAACTGTACATGTTAATCATTAAGGAAAGAAAAACTCCATCAAGCCAATTAGATCATCCACTCAAATTTAACATAGATCTTTGACACATGAAAGGGACCATTTTTGTCCGAAAGACTGAATTTTCAATGTTGAACTACATTTGTATAGCAATTCCTGAAACTAATGACGAATTTAAAAGGAGTAAATTACCTGCTATAGTGGCATTATCCCATCCTTGCAATAAGTTACCAATAGCTGCTGCAACAGCTACAAGCACAGCTCCACTCATATTCGCAGAAAAACCAAAATCCCAATTCTCAACGGTGTGCACTAAACTAAGTACCCTGAAAGTGAAACAAGACAATCCAGATCATGGATCAGAATGATCGAACCAGTTCCTGATAACCTCCGAAGAGGTCACAGATCACAGATTCCATACGGACCATACCATGAAAACAAAATCTTGTCCGCGTATTAAAAGAAAGAAAAACCAAAATGGAAACAAACAAAAAGCACAAAAACAAAGGTA